ACACACACTACACACACANATATATATATATATATATATATATATATATATATATATATATATATATATATATATATATATATATATATATATATATATATATATATATTAGATGCGAGTGATAATCTGAGCAGCTCATACATCACAAATCTCTTCATATGAAGTGTGTTGATCCTTTTTTCTTTTCATCTCTCCCTGTAGATCAAATCAGCACCTTGAATCAGGCTGAGAAAGTTGGCAAGGATGACTTCGACATTCTCCGTGTACTTGGCAGTGGCGGTAAGTCTTGGACAGGGAGGACTCTTACATCAAATTTTCTATTGCACACAGCTAAATGAGACAATTCCATCTGCCAATATCGTGCTGCATTGCGGATCGTGGTGTATAGTAAAATTTTCTCGGCTGACTGTTGCTTTGCTACACAGGCATGTTTATCTTGAAACGAGCCGCCAGTATCGTTACCTTGTTCTATGCCTTGCTTGTTATTTCTAGCAAAGCTAGATTTAGGCTCTAGAAGATTTCTATCGCGTTATGTAGTAGCCACAATCAGGCTGAGGGTCTATGCACAACTGTGTCGAGCGGACTCCTTACTAGTGCGCGAGATGTTTGGAAAATGGCAATGTGAGCATGTTCTTCTTTTTCTACTAGTCACTTGGGGACAAGACCGAAGACACTAGGCCATACATTCAAAACTGTGTGACCATAATGCGGGCGCTCTACTATTTTAGTAGTGCATTTCCCGACCGGCAATGATCGGCGCATCCTGGGGAAAAAAAGAGGTCGCCAAATTTCAAATATTTTCTCATTAGAGTGGACAGGTCGCATATAGATAAGTGCATATCTCTAGCTCGAACAAGGGCTGCTAGTGGGATGTTTTGAGTTCTAATCTCCCACACGTATACGGCATACCTATTCTCAGCGTTCGCCAAGGTGTTCCTGGTGAAGAAGGTCCGCGGAAAGCAAGCCGGCAAGGTCTTTGCCATGAAGGTGCTTGGGAAGGCCCGCATTGTTAAGGATCCCAGGTGTGTTGTTAATAGTTAATGCATCGATCTGTGGGCTATAAACGGTGTATACAGCTTCGTCGCTGTGTATGAATATGCGTCAATGGTTCCAGACAGATCTGCATACGTAAATTTACAAACTAATCAGTGGTGATGTATACTCGACTCCCAGGCGTGCGGGGTTGGTTTGATGTATAGATCCGTGGGCTATACACTGTATATATACGGCGTCGTTCCTGTGTGTGAATGTACTTCCACACCTAAAGACAGATACTCGGATGCCACTCTGCATACGTAAGCATACATACTAACCAGTGGTGATGTATACCGGCACGATTTAAATTGACATTTATGTAAGGTAAGCTCAAGTTTGCACGCGTCTCTGGTGCATTTCTGTTTGTATGTATGCAATTGCGCTTGTGTGACTACCCACCTCGCTATACAGAGACTGGGCCCCATGCGGGTGCCCTATCACCTTAGATGTCTGCCCGCGCCTGTTGCCGCAGAATGCAGAGCGGCTATCGTATCATACGCTCACAACACCGATACCTTCCATATAGCTCGTATCTGCAACATAAAATCATATGTACTAACTCGGCCCTCTTCAGAATGATCACGCATACCAAGGCTGAACGCCATATCCTCGAAGAAGTCAACCATCCATTCATAGTCAATCTCTGTTACGCCTTTCAGGTAAGGCATTGTATGTTGCTTCGTTGAATACACCGTAAATTTCAATCTGACATGTATTTAGCCCGTTAGATATACCTGGTAGGGTTGTTTGTGTATTAGAGGCGATAAGTGTGCCTCTTGCAAGCTCACAGCTGCACAAGGGAAGCCATTACCCTTTCTCATGCTGTATGTGCACCTGTCAATATCACGGTATAATGGTATAGTGTGTGCCTCAGATAGGGCGGAGCAATTGATTTCTACAAGCAGAGGACGTGTTTGCGTCTGGAACGGGACTCTTTGTTTGACTAAGGATAGCTTGTATAGTAAAACCCTCTGATCAGTCGGAATAAATGATTGTCTATGTTTGTACGACATGAATGGTGTGGTTAATTAAACGAGAAACAGATTGATCGATATCACTGTGTTATATATTCCTCTGGTTAGACAATCCAATTTTATTTTGATCCAAATATGGCTTGTTCTACATTTTTAGCCACGTTCTGAAGTTAACCACAGCACTGCAAACATGAACATTAGACAGGATGGTTTCTTGCGCATCGAGGATTTCACCGTATTCCACCCTGGTATAGCCCAATATATACCTCAGCTTCATTTTTAACGCTCGCTCCTAAAATCATTCAACACATGTGATGCGTGTAGTTAGACGTTGTGGTATTTGATATGCTACACATTTCTGCCCACAGACTGACGGAAAGCTGTACCTGATCCTAGAGTTCAAGAACGGAGGTGAGCTGTTCACACATCTGATGAAACAGGGGGTTTTCACCGAGGGCGAGGTTTGTACTGGAGATTGTAATCCATTATATATATATATATATATATATATATATATATA